TCTCACATTCTCAGCACCAAACTGATATCACAGTAATCGGATGTAATATGGCATAAACATACGAACAGAAACGTCTTAATTACGAAAAAGGTTCGATAACTAGAGTGTATGCATGTATACACATTGTGCGCCAATCGTAGACACTTTTTTGTCAATAGAAGGAAGATGGATTACAAACATTATTTAAAAAATGCTACTTAATTAGTGGAAACGCATTTTATCATTTATTTGACTTAGTATATTGCTGTGTATGTATTCAGAAGCTTCAAACAATCTAGTCGTTGTGGTTAGTTACCGAGGCATGTCATTTTCCATTTTTCACCCAATAAGTAATAGAATTATTAATAAGCTGGAAAAAATGATGTATAGCAACGCTTTTTACTAGTATCAATAATTATATTTATATTTTTTGGAATAAATTATTTGAATGTCAATCCAATTCATCACTACAAATGTTTCTCCAGAATCTAGAAATAAACATCTGAATTTGTTCGCGGCCTGAATAACTCTTGATGAGCGAGTTATACAATTTAATAAAATATCGTGAAATCTATAACACGTCACTAGTTGAATAAAAACATGTTCATTAAATATCAAAATTTTATTAGTTTCTGCCCATATAGAATGTCACAGATTTTATAAATTTTCAGAAGAGAAAATGGATGGAAGGGAAAGTGGGCATGAAAGAGAATGAAATATGACATGTTCAATATCCAGTAGAGAAAAATAATAAAAAAGATATATGGTACCATCTAAGACCATAAAAATAGAAAATTTACATTATAATTGAAGTAATGCAAATGCTGTATAATAGATAACGCAGGATGATAACGGTTCATTCACAAATAGTTCTAGACTAAATCGCTTAATTTACTGAATTACATTCAGCACCCAAGATCCTTGTCAAAGACTATAAATGTCGAAATCACGCACACATATACGTTATTACGCAGCACATATCATCTTGTAGAGGGTCAAATAATTCATTACTTCTCAGAACAATAGACACCGCATCTCACAGCTACAGTCTGACCGTCAAAGGTCTGTACATTAATAAAGCCATCATAAATGTGACTCGTCATCCCATATTAAGTACCATTTCCATTCATATCCCAGTAAATGAATGCTGAAATAAGTAAACATTTTCCCTTGCATATTAATGCCGTTTGAGATATACTTGTGTGTTGACAGTAATAAATGTGCAACTCACCTACTTTGCATATAAATGGAATAGGTAATTCACAATTGAATAAAGATTCTAATAAAAAAGGTTCCCAATTATTCTCAATGGACTATTTTTAAATAATATTTCTGAAATGCGTGTGCACCGTAACTATTGATGTAAATCTATAACGGATTGTGCATGAGGAGAAGTTTTAAACTAAATTCTAACAATACTTTGAATGCAGAATTTCAGTGTGTACATTTTTTTTAACACAAACTCAAGGCAATATTAAAACCATCAAGCGTTTATAATTTGGATAAAAACAAGACAATTATATCATCATTTTAGACAATTACTCAATAGTACAATCAAGTCAACCGAGTCAGTAAAGGACACACCAAATGAATCCAAGGGAAGATGGTTCATTGAAGACAATAATTTTCATCATACGATTGCGACCTGCATGGTAACAAATCACTATTTTTGGGAATTAAATATTTTTCATCAGCATACCATTGTCTGAAATTTACTCCAAACAAGTGGGTTTGAGACGGAATTGGGGGAGTAGATGAAAAGGAGGCGAAAGGGAAATGGACCCGAAACAGTGACAGTGGAGGCAGAAGAGTGATGATGACAGTGATGATAGCGGAGGCGAGCGGTGGGCAACAAGCGGGTTAGCGATGGTGTGGGATGAGACAAGGTGGTGTGGGGCGGTGTAAGGTAAGACGGAGTGCACAGGGCCAGGCGGGGTAGGGTGGGATATTGAGGTATGTGGCAGGGGTGGGCGGAGTGTGGTTAGTTCGGGCGGGGTGGTGTTTGGTGGTCCGGGAGGGTACATGGGGGCGGGTTGAAGCGAGGCGGAACGAGGAGGGACGGAACGAGTGTGGGGGCGTGGTGGACTGTGGTATGCAGGTCGGGCGGTACAGTGGGGCAAGGGTGAAGCGAGGCGCGGACAGAAACAGGGAGGGCTTGGGGGAAGTGGGGGTGGTGGGGTGAGGTGGGTTGAGAGTATAGTGGTCCGTGCGGGTGGTGCGAGGCGTGGCGGTGACGGTTACCGTCTAGCGAGGAGGAGGGGGGGGCGGTACGGCGATCTCGCGAACCACCACGACCGCACACTGAGGTCATCAGAAGGTCACTCGCCGTCGGCGCCACCGCCTGGCAGGCGCGACCGTCTGCCCCGCGACGACGACAGGTAACTCGTGGGCGGGGGCAGAGAGCACGGCGCTCGCTCGGCGGCGTTTCGGCACAGTTGGGCAGCGAACTGGAAGAGTCGATGGGACGCGCTGCCGCGCGCCGCCCACGTCCTCCGCCACGTGCATGACGCATGGCGCCTCCCACACCAAGCACTGTAGCCGTCGTGGGGCCTCGGCCAAGAAGTTACAGGAGAACTTACAACAGCACGTATTCACTTCTTCAAAGAAGTATTTTCACGGATTCCCGTCTGAAACGCACTCACTCCGCTGAGACAGAAGAATCAAGTTTCTCTTGAAAAAGGTTCTAGCCGTAAGTGTTAAATGTTAGTAGATTAACCTTTAACTGTGCTACAAACTTTAGTGTAGTTGCGCTGGGTTAGAAAAACGTTTGAAAAAATAAATTTCTGAACGCATATTTATTCGAAAATTATATCTATATGTATTCCGTATTCTACATAAAAGCGTAGATTGCTAAACGTCCTATACAAAGTGTTTTTGTAGGTAATTGATCTACTTCATTATCAGTTCAGGCTTACTGTAATCAAGGATATGTTTTGGCCATGCTGCTTACTGCTCAGAATAATACTTATTAAATGAAGGCCCCGCTAGTGTTATAAGTTGTCTTACATGTCTGATTTAAAGGAGTATAGTAGACTTCTAGAATAGGATTTAATAGCTAAAATTCGTTTATACACAGACCTAAATAATACGAATTTCTCAGATTGGTAAACGTAAAAGTTTACAGAAATACTGAATTTAAAACCAGTTAACAACAAAAGAGTTTTGGAAGAAGACAAACGACGATTGGTCTTATCTTCATCGCATTGTGTTGAGTACACAGCCTGCAGAAATTTAAGGCAGCGGATTTTTTTAACTCAAGAATTTATTTTGAAAAGGAGGTCCTAATCATTTTGCTATTTTGTAAAAAAAAACATTGCGAACAATTTACTTTTCTACAATATTTTCTCATTCATTTCTATTAAACGTATAGATTCGTTCATGAGAAGGGTAATGGAAGATTCTTCTAAAGCAAACACTCAACTACAATTAAAAATATCATTCTCTGCGACAAAATTGACATTCACTGAAGCATCTCATTCATTTCAAATAAATTGAAAGGCAGAAAATTTTGAGTATTTAAATTATTTCAATAGCAGTGAGTTTGATTAAGAGTTACGGCTGTTCGATGTCTCCATTATCAAACACCGTTCACCCCAACTAATGTATTGTCAAAGTTGGGCATTTGCATTTCACTACGCTTCGATTTTCGAGTGTTTTTCTATAACGATACGATGTGCTTTTCAGATTTCCCAGAATGTAAAACTTTAATTCAAACCTCGTTATTTCAATTGCACTTTTTACGTACATCCATACTGCTATATTGACATATTAAATTTTGGAAACCACTTCTTTCAGCTTATCTTAAATTAAAATTCTCAATGTTATTGGAAGTACCTCAAGGGTATTGAAATTAGCAAAATTTTCTGTAGTTCAATACTTCAAGTAAACCAATTATTTATTATCGACTTGTACCAGCTTCCACGTGCCAGTAACGACTCTCCAAAGTTCATTAAATCTTAATTTCCTAATTCTCATAAGCCATCAAGAGTAAGGAGTTTCGCACTTGAGTTTACTGCGTGCACAGTATATGAGCGAAGTTAGAAAACTACGCACCCATCTCCATCAAATTGACATCCACGCTTCAGCACAAGCAGTCGTTTTTCCAGTTTTATGTTTTACTATCTGCAGGTTTTACTTTTAATTTGTTATTGCACTTCCCAATCAAATTAAAAAATACATTAGCAAACACTTATAATAGGGTGACTATCAAATATTTTACATACACTTCTGGTTTTCAAGTTATTGATGGAATTTTTATTGTTATGGACATTTTGGTTTTATTAATTACACAAGTATGAAACAAAAATATCGTAATCTCAAAAAAATTTATAACTGTTCTTCTACCTACGCATTTCTGTTACACATGAAATTGAGTAGAACAAAATTATTTCTTACTTTTAGTTTAGTTAGCAGTTAATATTATTTTATTGTTTTTTTTTAAGAAGTGAAGTGTCGTTCTCTCCCTAAATAATCGTTTGGGTCGAAGCATTCTGTTGACTTCGTTGTCCGTTTCTTTGATACATCGTATTTCGTGCACAAATACGAGCATTCTTTGAATTTTCTTTTTAATTATCAAACAAATAATCGTTTTTCGACAGTTCATGACTTACAAGAAAGGTAACTTGTACTAAATAAAATCTCGCTTCTGTTTACTTCTATTGTCCTCAGCGAAGGTATAACATTTAAGTCCATTTAATCCATGTAACAACTACATACAGTAAAATATGAAAATGCGCAAAATTGATATAACAAAAAAAGACAAGTCAGAGAATAGCATTAACCCCAATAGCGCAAAATATTAACTACATGTGTCAACTCCTAAAAGCAAGACAAAAATATATTTCTAGCTAATATAATGAATACTTGGATCACGGATATATAACGCAGCTCTAAAATTAGAAAAAGAAATACACATTTAAGATTTCATCAACTTGGTCTTAAACTTCGATCAAAAATAAGAAAAAAATGTTCATAAAAATGCATCAACAAACATAACTCGGAAATGTATGAGAAATATTTTACTAAATGTATGTGTAAAAGTACAAAACTATGCAACTCCTAACACAACTAAGAGTTGGATGACTGCCAACTTCCATTATATTATAGATATCTGGCAAAAACCTAATAACGTAAACGTAATTAAAATAATCTTAATTTGCAACCTTTAGCGAATTAAATAACACCTAAATATATACATTCAGAATTCTGCAACACCGACCCCCAACTGAATAAAGGGGTGGTCAGTTGGCTACCTGATTTCGTTCCTTAGCCTCTGTAGGAAACGTGACAATGTTATTAACGTCAGTAAACTGTTCTTTACGTGCTACGTATTTCCAATAAGGGCAAGTAAACTCATAAACACAACGTAGATAAATCTGCAACACCTGCACCAACACCCTAACACATCAAACTGAAGGGTAGTTGTCGACCTTATTCTCCCGCTTCGTCGCCGGAGGAAACAAAATCACGGCCCAAACAAGTAACCAACATGTGAACGAAGTAAATGTAGTTCCGTTCCTGAATTCACAAATTTCGCAACACGTAAACAAACGTACATTAATCTGGAACACCTGGTCAAAACCAAACAAAGCGGTCGGCAGCTGGCTACCTGATTTTGCTCGGTCGTCACCGGTAGAAACCATTAAACTGGAAGGTGGTTGCCAAACTGATTTCGCCGCTTCGTCGCCACAGGAAACACGATGTTCATGAACGCAAGTAAACTTAGTTTAGTTCATCTGCTTTCGCGAATTACGCAACACGTAAACAAACATTCATAAATCTGAAACACCTGGTCTTATCAGAACAAAGTGGTCGGCAACTGGCTACCTCCTTCGCTCCGTCGCCTTCGGTGGAAACCCAATGATGCAATAAACGTCAGTAAACTGTTATTTACGTGTTACACATTTCACCTAAAGCAGTGAACTCACACAACACATAAACGCAAACGTACATAAATCTTCCACACCTGGCCGAAAGGGTACAAGCTGTAAGACAGTTGCCTACCTGTCTCCGCCTCGGCGTCGGCCTCGCCGGTGCGCGGCATGGTCGTGGTCCCGTCCCTCCCGTGCTTCCGGGCGTCGGCGGCGTCGGCGGCCAGGGGCGGTGTGTCCGTCGCGGGGCGCGAATTCGCGTGTGGGCGGCGGCGGCGCGCGGCGCCCTCGGCGCCCGCGGCGGCGGGGCGGGGGGCAGCGTGGAGGAGACCGGCGCCGTCGGGCCCGAGCGCCACGACGACGCGCACGCGCCGCCCCCGCTGCCCCCTGGCGGGGGCGGCGGCGGCGGCGGCCGGGCGCGCCGCGCGGGCGCGGCGGGGCGGCGGCGGCGGTCGGCGGCGGCGGCGCGGCGCAGCAGCGGGCCCCCGGCGGCGCGCAGGCAGTCGACGGCGCGCTCGGGCAGACACACCGCCGTGCCCATGCGGCGGCCCTGCGGAACGCCACGTGCGCGTTACGACCGGCCACGTTGGGCGCACGACGCGACGAGACGCGCCGGCCGCCTCGTGTTGCACGTGTGCGGCTGTGGGCCGGGATGTATACTGTGCGCACTGCGGTCAGTAGGAATGAGTTGGTAAGTCTGCAGAGTGTCTCAGGATAAGTGTTAGAAAATTTGTGTGAATTAAATAACAAAGTTACACACGAGATATTTGGTCAGGATGGGGTGGCAACGAATGCACCGTTCAATGTTTCGCAAATAGCCGTTCCAATGCAGTCAAAGAAATTTTGTGTAATTTTCATACACCAGTTTAAGATGTGTCACCTACTATTTAGGTGCAAATGTCACATGTGCCCTTATATTACAATGAGACGTCTAACATTATGGGATATCTCACGAAAAATTAATTATAAAAAAGTACTTTTAAAATTAATTTGTAAAAAATACCACTTTTCATATTCTAAAAGTTTCTAACATTAATTCTGAAGCTCTCTGTACTCGTATATATTTATATATTGCACTTTCCAACGTATTCCTAGTGACCGCAGATGTGTAGTGTTACTAAAGGCGTAGATATACGCTATAAATTATGCAGCGCTCCCCCTTAAATATTTTTTAAAACAAGCAATTCTGAAAATTTTCGTTAGCTTGTCACTTATTTATCTCGCAGATACTTTTCTACAACAGATACAGTTGAAATTAATCGTTAACCCTAGTAATTTGTTAAAATTTAAGCCCACTAATGAATGAAAAGACCGCGTAGAAACTTGCTACAATCAGCAATTACGCTTTCGTATTCCCTTAAGCACACTCCTTCATTCAATATATATCATCTAGCAACATTTAATGTAGCCATTTTCAACCCACTGTGATAAAATGCACGGAGATTTAAAAGCAGGCCGTATCCGCATGCATGCGCAAATATTTAAGTGTTTCAGTGTCACGTAAGTACTTGCATCCTCATTAGGTGAAAACTGCTCACAAATAAAATTATTTAAAACTTAGCCCCAGAAGGTGCTTCTGTTTGAAAGTGAATATTAGCGAATGTTTATGTGTAATTGCGGGTGTGGGAATGACTCGTTATACATTTGTTGCTTCTGGTTTTTATGCGTGTGTACATCGCTTTTGAAACATTGTGAAAAATGAACGGATGTCATTTTAAAACCTAATTTTGGTGAGAGGCTGACTGTCTCGTATATGGTTGTCACATGTGTGCCAGTATCAGTATATATTTATTCATATTCCCGTAAATATTCAAATATTCACTCATGTACTCATCTGAATATTTTTTCTTTATATTTATGAGTTTAACGCACCTTCTTGGCCTCCCTTTCGGAGACAACTGCATTTCACGAACTCAGACCATTTCGAGAATGTCCCTTCAGAAATATAATCTGGATGAAGTGGAAGTATTTTAGTGTGTGTGTATGTGTTTATGTATGCGAGTGAGTGCTGTGGTGTGATGTTTGAATCAATGGTTCAACATTTGATGATAACCATTTATTACAGGAAAAATTAAATGCATTAATACTTTTTTAGAAAGTATCTCTGACTATGTACGCGAGGATTATGATTGGATGTCTGCTTTTATAACGCTGTGTATGATTTTATAATTGGTGAAAATTGTAACATAAAATTATAGTGATGAATTAACACGTATGTGTGCTTCAAATATGCTCATTAGTGTGAATGGCAAATAATCAAATTGCTGAGAGAATAAAGTTTTAATATATGAGAGTAATTCATTCATTCCATCAGATATATTATTTTTTTGTAAATTATAATAATAAATTACAATATAGTCGGCAATTTAAATCGTGGTCTACCAGTCGGCATATTGACTATTATTTGCTAATGAAATTTATGTGATGGTATAATTCCGGATACATAAATGTAGGTTAAATAAGTAGCAATATCGCATTCAAGTATCGTTTGAATATATGACTAATATGCAGCACAACATTTACATTATTTATTTCTCCATTATCGACATAAACTATTGAGATACGATAATTTTTTCTACATTAATATTCGTTTATTGATAAGTAGATAATTACTCTGCGTTGCTCAGGCATTAAATTATCTCAATTATCTGTTAAGTAACCTCGCCTGCCCCGCACACTTCACCTGACATCCTAGCTCGTCCTACCAAGGCCGTCCTGCCAACACCTCCAGCCCCGTCCATCCCGCCACTATCACTCGGGCCGATTCTGCCGAGAGAATATATAACTGCCCGTCACGCTCCCCCAGATTCTTCCACTCTTTCCACTACACCCATTTCCTCTGCTCTGCCTCCTCCTCCTGTGACTCTTTCCGCTCCTTTCGCTTCTCCCATTCCTCTCGCTCTTTCTGCTCCGCCTGTTCCTTCCTCTCCCTCCGCATTCGCTCCGTTCCCCCCTCTCATTTCCGCCAGTTCCATCCTGGTCGCCATCGACCTCACCCGCGCCACCCGGTAACAAGGCCACCCAGATGCACTGGAGTTTGCATATAACTACATATTGACAAAAACACATTTTAAGGTAACATTTTGAAACACAAACATCCATTTTCTTGCTGCTCAAAAAAGTTTTGAAAACAATATAAACTATATGTTCTCTCTGGCCAACTCTCAATGCCAATTGCACTTTTTTCTGTTTCCAGTCTTATAATTTTTTTTAAAAAAAGTTTTTTTTGTAATAAAAATGTAATAAGAAAGAAAACAAAACAATTGTTATTTTAAATTGTCCAGAGACAAATATAGTTTACATATAATTATCAGACAAATATAGAATGAAGTTTGAGAACAATACTGTACTGGTCCGAACGTTTTGAGGCACGTGCAAACATACATAATCTAACTTTTATAAAATATATTATTTAGTCTTGTCGAAGGATATTAATAGTTTTAAATGTCATTACTATTATTTTTAAGAACAAACACATTTGATATATTTTCAAAATAGTCTAGTCAACAAATACAAAAGTTTAGAATATTGAAATAGAGAAAATTAAATAATGACGTTCAAATCAATAGTTTTCAAACACGGTACTTCGTTCCTTTTATTTTTTCTATAGAATTCTAAAACTTGGAGCAAAAAGTAGCAATTTCATTTGATGAATATGCCATTGTATGCCTTTAACATCTAAAGAAGAGACAAAACGTACTACGAGTATCAATAATACAAAATTTTATGTATGTAATTTGTAATTTTTACGCATAAATAACATTATCACAAATAAAGGCTTCAATAACGCCTACTTGCGAATCCAAATGCAGTACTAGATTTGTGTATTCAATGCATTCGAAAATACTGTATGTAACCGTTTGAAATAACTGTAGATACTTTATATAATAATAATAATAATAATAATAATAATAATAAAAATAATAATGTGGATGTCGATCAGATGGCCGAGATCTCTAAGGCAGTACCGTAGTGGTTTCGGACCAGAAGATCGCGTTTTCGAGTCCCGCCTCGGGGATGGGTGGATTTGCGTATGTCTGTATGAGTGTCGTCCTTTGACCCTTCATCATCATCATCATCATCATCATTTCATCTTCCATATTCCCAGGGCTAACAACCCTGGGGAATAAAAATCGAACTCAGCTAAATGCTGGTCCCCATTTAAAAGTTACCTGCCATCGCGATAATGATACTGAGCCATGGGGCATGGTGCATGCATGCGCGCGTGCCAGGGTGCATGCATGCGTGGTCCTAGTCGGCCGATTCGCGAGCAAAAAAATAATGTTGATCAGCATAGCCGAGATCTCTAAACCAGTAGTGCTGTGGCGATCTCGGACGGAAGGATCGGTCCTAACGTGTAGAAAGTGGGTGATACAATGCTCTACCCAGCATTATTAGTACGCGCGCAGATTACATCCAAGAACATTTTCTCTTGCATCCATGAAATTTATCTTTTATCTACAATAAAATAAAGAAAAGGGGAATCTAAATCCTGATACTGAAAAATTTCATAACATGTTTGCACATAAAAAATGTGTGCCTTCATATTCAATTTCAACAACCCCTTTATTCTATAACAGTCGCGTTATTAACATACTCTCACATATTTTTTAGAGTACACATTTATGTGTGCAAGCACACTCCTTAATGAATTTTTTACGTTTATTTTTAATATACTGAAAAATATCGAAAGACGTGCCCAAAACCACGTTTCTAATAGGATCACATTCTCTGATGTTCTACAATATTAACTTCCTGATATTCATTTTTATGCATCTTTTGAACGGCACAATATAACGACATCCAATATCTTTCCTCGCGTAAAATTCATTCAGTTTTAATGAAAATCCTCTTCCCTAATAGTGAAACTCAAAACGCTGTTCCATTTTAAGAGGATACGCCAATACTAAGTTTCATAAAAATCGATCGAAAACTCCAGAAAAATTAGATGCAGAATCACGGAGGCTTGGAACAGCTGGTTACAAGTTGTAGAATGTATTCTAGTTTCTCATCAAGGGGTATATTTGGGCAATAAAGGGTTCAGCTACCAAAGAATTAATTATAATAAGTTTGGAAATATAGTGCATTTTCCCCTCCCCACATTAAAATATGAAAACAAAATGTCGACAAGACCTGATATGTGATAAGGAAAACACATAATGTTTTATAAATGGCATAATGTACGCTTTATTTCTTTAATGAAATGAAAAGTGAGTAATAGGTTACTCGCAAACATAAGATATTGTCTTCCTAATTTTGCAGGTATTAAATCTGATTTTAGAAACTTGTGGGTTTCATAGAAGTAATGATTCAATACTCTTCAACTGTTCATAATTCTAGGTGACACCTGTCAAGACACTTGGCAGTCCTTTTCGTTTGCTGCGTCCACATATTTTCAGCAATTTTGCTAATCAACAATGTAAATATAGCAAATACTCAAATAAAGTAGTATTTGCTGTTAGAAATAATGCAAAAACAAAATTAATAAAAAAATGATTGTTCTCTAGTTTTCCAAGAAAAAAATTATTTAATTACATAAAATAATCAAGT